TTAAAGGAACTGGACTCTAAGGTTCACGTTGCCTTTTTGAACTCATATGCACTTGGAATTCTTCTAAAATCTCCCCATAGAAGCTGTATGTAAACTTTTACATGTATGATGATAATATTATGGAATTCAAGGAAACCACCAGTGAAAAAGCATGAAAATCTATCTTTAAACAAAAGCATGTAAGTACATACTCAGAGGACAAATTTCTCTGCTATTCACATACATTCCAGCTGGCTTGCTCAATAAGAACAGAACACACATATTAGTCTGGGACAGAGGCCTCTCCTTTTACTCATGCAAGACCAAATTTGGTTGTTTAGTAAATACAGTCTCCGGATTCCTAAATATTTGAAAAAAAAAAAACCCTAAATAGATAAAAACAGCTAATGGTTTCTGTGAAGAGGTTTGCAAACTTAAGAACCTAACTGTTCATAGAAGGAAGAACTACAATTTTAGCTTGAAGAGGACTAGAATCACTATCTTACAGAAGGAAAAGGTTGTCCAATTCTGCTGCAGCTCCCATTGTTCCAGTCAACTTGAAACACCAAACTGTGATCCACATCTAACTATTAAATCTCCCAGCACAACCAGGTATAAAGAATGCCAAAACAGAGTCTTCCTTTCTTGCCTTGCTTGTCTGAACACTTAATTTAACATAATGAAAGCAAAGAAGAATATTTTTTTTTCCTTTGTTTTCTTTCTCTCCTCCCCCCGCCCCCACCCCCACCCCGGAGAACAAGCTACATTCTTGGTTTCATCTCAGAGCCCAGCAACTGAAGCATTAGACCTTTTCCATAAATGAAGGCAACTGAAAGGTTAACCAGGTTAATAGATTATGTTTACTTTTTGTATACAGATTTTGTAAGAGTCTACAGACAGATAAAAATCTCATGAGGGGATGCTGAACAAAAGCAGCTGAAATTTTAAAGTATGCTTTCTCAATCCTCCTTGCATCATTACATGCTGCTGAAGTAGCATGATATGGAAATAGTTACTAGATAGAAAGTAGAAAAGCATGGACCTGCATCCTCCAACATGAAATAGCTACATGTTTTGGTAACAGACTACCAACTTACTTTCATAGTAATCTCATTGCATTCCTCCTTCTTTAAAGAGAATGCTGAATATGAACACTTCTAGTTTTTAAGTATCAAGTTTTAGGATGATGGCTACTACTCAAACCATACACTATTCATTGTAGGTACTGAAAAGTTGTATTAGTAGAGACTGTTACGGTATAAAATTATTTTTAGGTCAAGTTTGGAAAGAAAGCAAATGATCACAGCTTTTTGGAAAGCACATTAAGGCTTTACTCTATAGCTCTTACTAAGGGAACATATTTATTGTAGCCCTTAACACATAAGAGACCCCTAACTGAAATTAAGTGGCACTTGAAATTTGATGCATCTTACCCTTCAGGGACAGACCAAGGGCTGAAGTACAGTGGTATTCTGCTGAGCTTGTAGCTCACCTGGGATGCAGCGGGGGCAGCACTACAAAACTGAAGTGCTAGACAAACTGCTGTGCCTCACTCGCATTACAGTGTGGTGACGGTCACAATACACCAGGTGGAATAAAACACCCAATGCAATTTGCTTTCAACCCATTCTACCAGTATGAAAAAGAACTAAAATGGGCTACAGTTACAAAATGGGAAAGAAGAAATCCGAGGCAAGTGAATAACCTTATATAAGGAATAAAAAATTCCACAGATTTAAAAAAAATAGGGGTAAAACATATATTAGTGGCTAAAATAACCCTCTAAGAGCATCCAATGCCTTCCTTTCATGCTGTGTAGTACAAGGGAAGCCTAAGGATTATCAGCCTAGAAGCTGGGAAATAGTACTGCAAAGATTCACATGCTACACTGTCATTTACATTATATTCATAAGTTCCTCCACACACAGAGACATGAAATCTCCACCAACTGCAACAGCTATTTGCTCCCCCAAGAGAGGGTACTGGACTGTCTTTATGCTTTTGAGAACAAAAACCCATTTTACTCCACTTGGGGGGAAAAAAGAAAAAAAGAATCTTAAATATAACCCACCGTTTAGTTATTAACTTATTTTAATGTTTTTCCTTCATTTGAATGCCAAAGTAGAGCATATTGCCATTAGATAATCATCAATTCTCAAAAAAAAAATAGCAGCGAAAGAGGTAAGTACCAACTTCAGTGAAGAAGTTATGCATTAAGTTACTTTAAAGCCAGTCTCCTGAGCGTACATTGCACTAGAACTTCTGAAAAAAGTTACCAAAGATACAGCCAATTGACTTGCTACACTCCTTGCACTGGCTTTCTCCCTTCAGCTGTACTGTCTAGCCACAGGTGCCACTACCTTTATTCTGTTTCCTCAGCAGGGAACCTGCTTCTCCCTTAACTCTCACTTCAACTACTCTGCATCTTCAAATTTAAGTGGATTTTGTTAACGCGACCTCAGCTCCCCTTCTTGTTTTTTTTAAACAGAAGATATGCTGACCAGATTTAGCAGTTCATGTTCACATCAGTTGTCTGTTCTAGCATCTCACTTTACTGTGGCAGTGGGGTGGGAGAGAAAAAAACCCTTCCTTTTTCCTCATCCCAGCTGAGACAATTAGACAATCTGAAACACAACTTACTTTTTTTTTTTCTTTTTTTAAATTAGGTTCACTTGAAAAGAAATACTGAAATAATCATGACATGACATGAATTAGGGTATGCACAGACATACCAGAGATGTGCAAAAACCTTTAAGTTATGTTTCACACTTCCTTGCCTTTTGGAAACAAAAACCCACACAGTAACAGAATACTCCTGACACTCACTGTTCCTGTAAACTTCAATTCACCTTGGTCTGCAAAGTACTTGGTCTCAAATTCCATGCACACCACATTTCATTTTGTTCAAACAGGTAGAATTAAATTTTAGGTGAACAAAGATAGCAGGTTGCCTGCATCTTACTTGTTGTTTCAGCTATACAAAAATCCCAGCATGTTATTTAGTAGAAGTTGTTCTTCCTATCACCTGCAAGGTTCTTAGAAGATCACAAATCATTAAAAATACCCTATTTCCCATCACTTCCTTGTTGTATCATTACAGGAAGAAAAAACAGCAAGTCCCAGACTACTGAAATACCCACTTATTATAGGGCACTACATTATTCCTTTTCTTACATCAAAATACAGCTGCTTTAAAAGTGTGTCACACGAGAGTATAGCCATGTGCATGTAAAATATGCAAAGGAAGAGTCTTAAAGCCTCTTTTCTCCACAAGTAGGACTATAAGAAAACAAAGGTTTTCATGCTACAATCACGATAGAGACTAAAATTAATTCTGAAGAGAAGTAAAAGTTGGGCCAGACTATGAGAGAAAAGTGTTCTACACTTTAATGCGATATGATTGTTCCTCTGAGTGGGGAGGTGGTGTCAGGCAGTAAGAGAAGTGTCTTGTCTTAGAAGAGCTGAAGGAAACATAAAACCATCTATATATACTTAAGATTCATTTACTGGAATGCTGAAGCTACCTTAAAAGGCCTACAGGAGATCTGGCACTTGTCCAATTCAGGGCAGGTTTCATGGTAATTGTAGCATTTTAGAAGGCAAAGAATAGCAGAAATGGTGGTCTCTGGTGACAATCACCATTTTCACATGAAGTATGAATTCATCGTTTTACCAATTAAATACTAATTATATGATACCTGATAAATTTTGCAGCTAATAAGCCAAAGTCAGTAAAGGGTTGGGTTTTTTCTTAAATAGGCAAGCAGCTGACACCTTAACACCTGATATACGTACTATTCTTTATTCAGTTTAACAATCTGACACATTTAGCAGACATTAGCAATAGAACTGGTCTCCCAACATAAAGGCCGACACCTAGTCTCAGTTTATCAAAAGCTATGTTCCCATGCAGAAAGTAAAAATCAAAAGTCCCTCGCTGCCACGCAACAGAATCAACCACACTGCTGCCGTATTTTCTATAGAAGAGCAGCATAAGGACTTATGCTGGGATGAGAAAAAAAAACCACACTAACAAATCATTACTACAGATGTTTACTAAGGATAGTTTATGTGAGTTGAATTTCCTTTAACACGAACTTGATTAGAGATCGTGACCCTATCCCTTACAAGGTTAATTAGAGTTCTTAATTATTCCAGCTTTTCTGCTGTTAATGAAATGGAATGGCGTCATTAGTGAGGCTTGTCAGCTACACTTATGTGCAAAGAAATGATTTGACACTGCTTTTGTAATCTAATCCTTTCAAGAAAAACAGTCTGAACATCACTCAAGCACTGCAAATAAAAATCCTTGAAGACAAAGAGGACAGATGGCAATACTCTCAAGGAACACCACCTAAAATATTCATAGTTTAGAAGAGGACTGTTAACCCTGTGAATAATCAATACATTTGGATCTTGCAAGACAAAAAAAAAAAAAAAAATCAACAATATATTTTCTGTTCATGAAACGATGAAAGAGATCTACAGAGGTACCCATTTTTGCTGAAGACCTGTTGTTGTATTCAGTGGATCTACACACTACATAACCATTTCTTGCTATCAGCGTCCAGAAGCAGCAGGCACCAATGTGGCAGTTTTGTTGCAAAGCTCAATTATCTCCCCATCAGCCCTAGTTACAAAGCAGCAAAAACATTTAAGGCAAGCTTATAAACTTGAAGACTTCACTGTTACTGCAATTACACAAGAAAAGGCCTTGTCCTCCCCTGCCTTTCCCTCTCCTCCCATAATTCAAGACTGTTACAATGTCAACTACTAGGCTTAACAGCTTCCTTTGGTAAGAGTTAATTTGAAACAAATGTTATCATAGATGCATGAAGCTACAAACTATTATTGAGAAGACAGCTACAGCAAGAGACAAAAACAGTGAGATGTACTAAAGACTTGAAATCAAAAGGAAACAAATCAAAATGATACACAAAACAAGGGGAAAACGCTATAATACATAAACTTCTGTCTGTCTCTTCAAAACAAGAGCTGCCATGAAGACAATGTATAGTTACCTGCATCCATATCTGCAAAGAATGGAACAGCCAGTAAGGAAAAGAAGGAACCAGAAATTCAGTGTCTCAGAGTTGGATTTAAAAGTTCATAAGGAGAACAGATTAAAAAAAAAAAAAAAGTATTCAGTGTAAGATACACCTCTGTAAGGTATTATGATATTTTTGATTTCAACCTATAAACTTGGATTAATGTTAAACACTACAACTTTTTCACATATAAATTAATTTTCTGTGGCAAAAGAACATTTTTAAAAACTCCAACACTTCAAGACCAAAGATTCAATATATTAAACAAGGAACCAGTTACATCTTTAGTTTAGGCTTGTGAATTTTTATTCTTCCAACATCACAAACCAAAGGGCCCGATTCTGCAAAAATCCAGTACCAGACACAGTAATTGGGGCTTTCTACAACCAAATTGAAAGCAGTAGCACTACCGAGAGCAGTCAACTCTTCTCAACACAGGACTAGAGTTTCCCATATGGACACATACTGGATGCCGAAGTATTTAAAGAGGCTAAGTAGTTATGAAAAAGTTACAATTATACTCATCATATGTACTTATCACAGTCTGGAGAATGTTAAAGGGAAAATCTCCATGAACACTGAAATACCAAGTTAGATTATTTACTGATTCATTTCTGCATGATTAAAAATGAATAAAGATGTAGTTTGTGGAAAAAAAAAAGAAGAAATATTAATGAAATTTGCATATCCACATACCTTCAGGTGATTCCTCTTGGACATATGTGCCAGTCAGATACCGGTGTACAAGTGCAGACTTGCCACTCGCTAGGTTACCCACAATCCCCTGGGGAAAAAAAAAAAAAAAAAAAAAAAAAAAAAAAAAAAAAAAAAAAAAAGGAAAAAGTTCAACTGCAATTAATCCCCATAAAACCCAGTATATTCAAGCCAAATCTTAATGCAGAAATAACTTCTATGCACCTGAGGGGAAAGCCCATGCAACAGAAACACTGCAAAATATGCCAACAGATAAATGCCAAAAAGCCTGGGCTACGGCAGAGTATATACATGACAAAACATATAAACCAAAATCAGTTTATTAGTAGCACTCCTTTATTCAGCTCACCACTAATGCTAAGTGTGAATGTGAGGCAATATATAGACTTCAGGGAAGAAGCCTGAAACTCAGACCAAGCTTCTCACACCTTTACTGAAAAACACACAAAAATCACTAAATTCTCATACTAAAAAAATATCTCTGTAGACTATCCACCACGTGATTCACACCGACTTGCCACTGAAGTGCACACATGATATATAATGGCTATAGACAGACACATCCTGGCATGTCCACTATGGCTTGCTGAAGTCCCTTACTTTACCAATAAGTTTACAACTCAAACTGTTCATGCCCTAACATCTGCACTGGGAACTTGTCAAATAGAAGTACTCAATCTTAAAGCACATGCGATTTTTCTGTTAAGCTTGCTTGCTGGCATTTGGTTTTAAAAACCCTGGCAGAAGAAAGAGAATGTAGCCCAACACCAAAACAGTTTTCTTCCCAGAGGCTCTCAAATGTCAAAGACTTGAAGATTTGTGCTTCTTTTGTTGCTTTAAAAGGGGTGCAAGGTGGTTACAAAGCCTGTCTTCACTACTCCCGCACCACCAAACACACCTTCCCTTTCGAGCTGCAGCCTTGCCTTGCTGGCCAATACAAGTCCTGCTGATCTGTCCCCAGGCCTGACCATCAACCAACCAGAAGCAGACTGACAGATGCAGCAAGCAAGGTCCAAGCCTGGCTGCCTGCCGGGCTCTGCACAGTCCAGGGGACTAGAGGGTTTGGAGAACATACCTCCTTATGTTTCAGATGAATGTCGTCTTTTCTTGCTCAGTTGTTATCTCAGCAGACACTGTACTTACTCAGATTTTGGAGGAGACGATGGAAACTTATTTTATCCTTTAAAGAAACCTAAGCCTACTCTGTTCTTACATGTTTATCTTGACCCTAACCAAAAGGTTCAGAACATAAGATCCCTGGAGAGAGGATGAACTCTGCTGATCTGCCCAAGTATGCCAAATTGACAGAGGTAGCATGAACAAGTTACACATTAATGCAAATTCTCTACTCCATATTTTTAATCTTAACTGTTAAGAAACTATCCTCCTTATCAAAAATTACTTAAAACAACAGAGTTGTGCCACCTTAAACTAACCTGATGACAGTTGTGGAGATGAGGAGAGGAAAAAAATTATTTATTTTTTACAATTCAGAACAACTTTCATTTGAGACAAGGCTAAAGGCACTGCACAGGATGTTCACTTTATCTCTATAGCTGATATGCAAGAACAGGTCAGATAAGGCATCACCTTAGGTGGAGGGTAAATTGAAGGCAGTCTCGCATCACCCTTCAGCCCCTACAATAGCATAAGCTTTAAGCATGATAAACAGTGTGGGCTAGAGTGGAAGAAAAAACCCCAAGAACCCCAAAACAGATTTCAAAAGTAATAGCAAACAACTATAAATCATGACCTGACTTGGGGGTCTGAGGGGCAGAAAAGGCAGGGAAAGAAAGAGATACCAGATCCCAGGCTAGCCTAATGCTACAGGAAGCTTTACTCTCGACTTGTTCAGGTTAGCAGGAAAGAAGCTGAACAGACAAATAGTATGTAATAAAAAAAAAAAAAAAAAAAAAAAGAGGACAAAAAAGAAATATAAAACAAGAAACCCACTGCTGTAGGTATAGCTGCTATCAATGAGCAGTCCCACAAAAAATAAAAAGGAAGCCACAGACCAAGAGGCTGGACAACACACATGTACCTGTTTATTGGGCTTTGAGCTGACTTTGAAGAGTGTTTAAACCAGCTAACCATACTGGAAGCTTTTAATCTAACCTATAGCTAACAAAAATTACAGGCCACACTAGTACACACCAAGAGGTCTACCACTAAAATTAAGTGCAAAGTATGTGACAGAGGCAAACATCATCTCTGCGGCTACCTAACCTTGTGTTCTCAGACCCCATTTCCATGGGACAGCACTCTCTAGAAACACACTGCAGAGTTTCACTGAGGTTTGGCCAAGAGAAAACCATTTATCAGAGCTGTTTTCCCCTTCAAGGTTAGTAAGCTTCACTTGGAACCCAAAAGTTACAGAAGATACCTTCTTAAGAAAATGTACGTTTGCAACTTCACAGAGAAAAAAAAAGCAACCAATAACCTCTCTAGGGCAAAGAGTAACTTTCTACAGGTGTGTCATATCATCTACCTGACAAAACTTCATCACACAGGATGCTAAACACCAACAAGAAAAGGATACAGCTGATACCTCAGACCTAAATGACTAGCACACTCCACACACCCTGCTTTGCAAGGAGGCCAGACCTGCAACACAACAAGGATGTTGCCTCCAAGATGCCCACACTTACTGCCTGAAAGCAAAGGCTTTGAGTAAGTCTGGATAGAAAGTCTCTTGGCTTGAGCAACTAAACATTTTGGGTACACAGTTCATTTAAGTCCTCTGGGCAACCTACTCAAAAACTACAACATGAGGTCACTGTGACTTCCCTGTTTTGCCAACATGAGAGAGACAATAGCTGCGAGTGGTGTGGGATTGCACTGGGGTTCGGTTCTGGCTCAACATCTTTCACCTTGAGCAAAAGCTATTAGGAGAAATGAAACTTCTCTCTCTCCAGCATCCATGTTTCCAAGCTTTTTCATCTCACAGAAGCATTGTGAAAATATTTGGTGTGTTATTGAAAATTAGGTGACAAGACCTAAAGAAAAATTAATGCAGAAATGAGCTGCTGTATTCAAAAAGAATGTGAATAGTGGGTAAGTAAAGACCTAAGATTCTGTACGGCACAAGAAAACAGACAATATTGATTAGCTAATTTTTTTTATTATTAACACTGATCCCCAATTCCCCCATTCAATGTATAGGGAAGGTAATCAGAAAGAGCAGAAAAACAGCTTAAGACTTCCACCTGCCCATACAAAGAACAAAAACTAAAGCAATATTACACTGACATCCAAATCCTGTATTTCCTTTCTGAATGCTTGACTTAGCTGAAATGATGTTGTGGCTTTCTCCAGTGTTCAACCAGACATCAAGTGAGAGGCAATAGGAAGAAAATAGCATCCCTAACATATCTTCTTTAACCCCAAAACATCAAGCAACCTCCTAAGTGAATTACTTTTCCCTCCACTGTATGCCAATAAACTATAGTAAGCTTGTCTCTCATATACTTCCATAAATAAGAAAATTTTCAAACAATCCTCCATATTTATCAGTCAACGAAACCACGATACTTGAGGAAATCCTGTGAAGAACAGCTTGGTCTCTGCACCCCTCCTGTTCTCCTTACAAAACTGATACCCTCTCCCTTTCCACACAAAGGCTCCTGAAGAAAGGTTACTTCCCATCTTTTTCACTTTGCCTACAACGATGTATTTCTCACTGTTCAGAATTAACAACTGCTTAAATAGTTTAAGATCTAGCATGTGAAAGCTTTTTTTTTTTTTTAAATGGAATTGAAGCAGTCAATACAGTTTTCCAGATTTTAACAGATTTCTGACTTTTAAAAGGAGATTAACGAAACTGCTTGCTAGTTGCTCGTTTTCTTCAGCACACAGCTCATCAGCAGGCTGTATTCACTAGAGCAGCATCTTCACCCTGGAGCAGAAGCTGAACACCACATTCCCAAGGCAAGCATCCCTATCTCCCTTCTTCCCCAACAGCTCTATATTATGCAAGTCTGGGCCAAAAAGGGCAAGCAAACCAAAAATCCCATATGTAAATCAATAGATTAGACATACCTCTGCAGATAAACAGACAGGCTAAGGCCCTTTCCAAGCACCATTCTGAAGAGTTGGAAAGCAAGCAAGTTTGAAATGGGCTTGCTAGGAAAATACTGACAGAAAAGAGTGGTTTATGTTTTCACTTTAGATGCAGCAGCTCTAAACCTTTGGAAACAACATGCCAAAGCTGTTTCTGACTGTCTAGTAACAAACTAGTGTAGCACAAACACACCCACAAAAAACCCTCCACTAGATCACAATATATTATCAGTCACGCAAACACCTTCACAGTAGATATTGAAACCTTCACTTACGAGTGACTAGTCCGTCATGTATGCAAATTAATACTATTTTATATTAATCCAGTGTCTAATACGTAACCAGTCAGAGGGCAAAACTGTGAGGAACAACAGAAAAGCATTGACCTGGGCTCCAGTGAGAGTAAATGTGCTACATCCTTTGCCCATAGCTGGGATGTGTTACTGTGTTTAGTTAGAGACCCCAAATATGCAAAATTCATCTACTGATTTGAGAATACAATTTTATACTTCTATTTTCAAGTATCCCAAAGACCATATCAGCATATGTAATTTCACAGCACTTCAGGTTCTCCAGTATGTTCCTCCTTATACGCACCCAAAAAGACCACAGTGCATGGCCAGAACATTATTAAACATGATGCTACAAACTGATGCAGAAAGCACTGACCAGGAGAAGTGAGATGGGTATTTCAAATAAGAAACCACTTCAATAACTCATACAGTAAAACTAGAGCTTTCTTCCCTTAAGATATATTACTAAAAACCATGCACAATCCTCAAAGAAAAGCAATGTATTACCTCCCACTTTCTCATTTTATTCATTTCCATATGTTGTCTCAAAGGTCGAGAGCAAAAAGTGTTGGTGTTTTAAAGATAATGCAGGACTGATTTTCTTGATCAGAATATTTAATTGTTTCTTAATAGGGAAGTTTGTGCATTTACATTTTTAAATCTGTTTCAAGCAACTCGTCAAACTGACAAAAGTTCTTTAGGAGCTTAAATGGTAAAAAAAGTTAACATGAAAAAAGCATTAACACAGTTAGTTTTGTGTTGAGTACTAATGTTAACTTCTCAAAAATCACATGAACCCAAAGCAAGTTTCCTCATACCTGACTATAAAATCTACATTTGCAGCACAGCTTTATTTTTTCCCTAGACAGCTACTTCAGAAAGCATTCAGGAGATATCTACCTCTTCCTCTTCTCATCTGGTAAGATTGAGGATTCCTTAAGATCTCACCTCAGTGCCTGCATCTGAAGAGACAAGGCAGCCATCTCTTTTCTGCCAGATACAAAACTAGTACATGAAATTAAAATCTAGCAGAATTGGCCTTCTGTTGTTCAGTGCAAGTGCTTGGCATTAATTACTGCTCAGGGTCTCTGCCCACTATTAACCTCTGAAAACCAGGAGCAATAAGCTTTATGCAGGAAAAATCTGACTTGTAATACAATTTTTCTCTTAATCAGGATTAATACTTGTTTTAAGGACGATTCCCCACAGTATGACAAATATGCCAGCATGTTTTTACAGTAGTCATATTCCTGTCTCCCATATTTTATATACAAACAATCTGAGTCATTTCTGTTTATTTATGGATACACATGAAATGCACAAAAGTTATGACAAGCATGTTATGGAACAAAAAATACCACCCTAGCCTAGTTCAAAAATGAGAAAATTCAGCTAACAAGGCTACAACACAGTGCTCTGTCAGTTATGGCTTGTGCAACACTGAATCATTTATTTGCACGTGCCAGACATGCTGTAAAATAAATCCAAACCACTATGTCCACATCCTACTAAAGCCCATTTGTAAAAATGCATAAATGTATTGATGGCATTTACCATTTTAAAGCTATTCAGCACAGAAGCCTGACTGTGCTTTGCAATTTTTTTTGAGCAAATGAAGTTATTTTGTCCAAAGAGATCTCGTAGTTATTCTGCTTAACACATCCTTATTTTACATTTGTATAAATGGGATCCAGGAACACCACCATTGCTCAGGAAAGGGACTGGTCTCACCCAGCTGGCCTAGCACGCACTTGACCATAACAGAAGCATCAACATCCATAAGTAAAACTGTGGTAGTATGTGATCAGCAGAAAAAAAATATTCTTCCGAAAATGGGAAAGGAATCAAGCTCAACGTGTGTTACTAAGAAAGAGGGCAGAGAGAAAAACTGATATTCTTTTCTCAAAAGTATACTGAAAAATACATCCATCGGCTTTTCTTTATTGAAACCCTGTGTGCTTCCTCTGCTCTCCCAGAGTCCATTTCTGTTGCCCTTAAATTTCTGTAGAGCCTAAGGGTATAACAGCTGCTATAAAAATCAAATACCAACCTCAATTTAAGGACTGCCCAGCCTCTGTAGAGAAGACAATCTCTCCCAGTAACCTACTAACCATCTTCTCCTGCTGAGTACAGCCTGCTCAAGCAGCTACTGCTGGGGCTCCCTTCATAACCATGCAACATGAAGTCTCATCTCCCCTGTACACACTGTACAGCAACAGGAGCAAACACACCACACCTCTCATTCCTCTGATATCCCCAGCACGGCCACAAGCTAAAGCAAGGCACCCACAGTTATCCTTAGTGGTGAACATAATGACAGCGCTGTGGAAGAAGAGGCAGGTTTGGCTTTTAACATGGCCCTTTCCTTCCTCGGCCATAAGCAAGCACTGACGCTGAGGCTGGGAGCAGGGGACCGACACAGAGATGTATCCCTGCACCAACTCCTTCCCAAGGGCAGGTGGATAGGCAAGGCAAAGCACGTTTCAGAGTGCCTAATTTGCCCTTCTTGCTGGAGCACAAGTTCAGTCACAGCTGGTGCTGCTAGCTTCAATAATTTGCAGTGGAATAATCAAATTATTATTTTTGTAATCACAGTTCTGCTTTTATCCAGGGCTATAGAAACTGGAGCCTTGGGCAGTAATCTTGAGGCTCATTGACACTGACCACTTAAAATCAATTCTCTACAGCAGCCACACAGCCAAAGTTTATTTTCCTGCCACTGGTTCAGACAATATGGGAGCGAGACAGGGAAGACAAGTATTCATATAATGCAATAATGGTACCATAAGAAACATTTGTAACCCAAGACCGTTACCTAATGCTCAGCAATTGTTTGTGCTCTGTATTACAAGATATCATAACTGCAGCTTTGGCTTCTCCTGCAACTCCCAGGTTTATTAGTAGGTGCTGTGAATTAGTAGGGTTAGGAGAAGGGGAAGAGATGAACAAGGAAACCCTCTGTAGATCTTCCCCAGCAGAAGCTAGCTAATACCACAGTGGACTGGACTCATATCCAACCAACACCTTCCAGTCCTAAATTCTTTGTGTTCTATCATGAGAGGTATTTTGGGAGATACCAGTCGTCCAAATTACACTATCAGTTAAAAGTGAAACTGGTGAGCCTCTGCAGGCCCTTCCTGTATTATACAGTTACATCCATTGACTCCCACCATTTTTCTTCTACTTACCTTGTTCACTGCTGAAATCAAAACAGAAACATAACTGTAGTCAGGAAGAAGCTGCTTTTATTAAAATGCCACTCTGTGTAAGTGCATTTATCATGTTAAATTTGACCTATGTTTTCTCTCACCTCTGTAAACGCTATTACAACTCAGATTCAGAAAAAGACATTTACCACATAAGAAGTGAGCTAGTGAAGCATGGTCTCAGCTGCCCACTCTGAAACTCAGATGGTTTTGCCCAACCCACTTTGCCACTTGGCAAACAGGTGCTTGGATCAGAGCAGCTCATCCAGTTACAACTGGAAAACAGGAGCTGAGCACAGATGCCTACCAAAAGCATTACACCAAATTCTGTATCTGTAACCAAAGTAATTTTTTAGGGTTTAAGAAATTGTGTTTAGTTAAATCTGAACTTCCACACGGTAAATATCACAGCAATATGGCCCCAACAACTCTGTGCTGATGGCTTGACAAGTTGCTGGTTTGATATTGTGCTTGTTTTGGCTGGGGTGGAGTTAATTTTCTTCATCATAGCTAGTCTGGGGCTATAGTTTGGATTTGCGATGGAAACAGAGCTGATAACACACGGAAGTTTTCACTATTGCTGAGCAGTGCTTACGCAGGGTTAAGGCCTCTTCTGCCTGTCACCCCACCTCACCAGCGAGGAGACTGGGGGTGCACAGGGAGTTGGGAGGGGACACAGGCAGGACAGCTGACCCCGACTGACCCCAGGGATATCCCAGACCGTCTGCCATCACACTCAGCATATAAGCAGAGCTTGTCTTTCCTGGAGATGGCTGAGCACCTGCCTGCCGATGGGAAGGGGTGAATGAATCCCTTGTTTTGCTTTACCTCTTAAACTGTCTTTATCTCAACTCAGAAGTTTTCTCACTTTTACCCTTCCGATTGACTCCCCCATCCCACCGGTGGGGAGCGAGCGAGCAGCTGTGTGGGGCTGAGCTGCTGGCTGGGGTTAACCCACAGCAGATATTCACCACAAGGAAGCTGCAGCCCACATCTCCAGCTTCCATGTTCATAACGCTTAAAAGGGCAAATCTGGGAAAGTCCCTCAATCTGTGTGTCTGTTATTTTGGTCTTTTCTTCCACCTATACAGAAAATGTCTCAGCCAGGGGAAAAATTATTTTAAATCGCTGTTCATTCTTATAGTAAAAATGTAGGTTTTGATTCACTAAATGAACCTTCAAAATATTCTATTTTTATTCAGTATAAATTCAGTTCAATTCTTTTAAGAGGGAGAAAAGACATTTGGTCCTTGAAGAAATTATAAAAAAAAGCCTATTGTAGTGAGATAAGAGGAGTTTTGTATATCACCTGCCAACTTCCACTTCCTCCTCTCAGAGAAGTGTAAGATTTCCCTACTGAGAAGACCACCCTATGAAGATGGTTCATGTAGCCAAACAAGACCAAACATCAATGAAATACAAATAGATCTTTGAAGCATGATTATAAAAATAGAAGGTACATAAACTTCATAAAGATAAGTTCTGTTGAAGAAAACTACTTTTTTTAAAAAAAAATTGTTTTCTGTATTTTTTTCTTCAACAGTAGATTTGATGAAGTAAGTAGAAGATTTTCACTTGTACATAACATTTTCAGCATGGTTTTTAGAGAGAGAAGTAAATATAAACTCACCACTTTCAGTTCTGGTACAGATCGGCTTAGTGTCCATTCCTGGCTATTTACAAAGGCATCTGTAAAAGTGGACAACATTCACAACATCAGTACAATGACACTTAATGGTCTGCAGCACAGAATTTCATGCTAAGGCTTTGGGTATATGAGACCAAAAGTCACATTCAATCTTACGAGAATGACAGTCCTGCATGCAAAACACTAAGGATTTGGATAAATTATACAAAAATTCAAGAACACCAGAAACTACCAGCCTGCAGAGTGGATGTGCTCTCTGCAGCAAGTCTAGTTGTATCACCTCCACTGGCATTAGGAAACTCAAACTAACTCCAGTCCTTCAGGATTGTGAAAAGTCTGTACACAGTTAAGCTGCTTCCCACCTACCATGACATATCTCTTCTCTACAAGAAAAGCCCTGGACTGCTCATCACACCGCATGTCAACAACTGCGGTTGTCACGAAGGAGTAGCTTCTCCACCCAGGTAAATGAGAGTATTTACCAGTTCTAAAAACATGCCAGTTTTTACTGCACACCATACTTAATGTCAACACCGCAACTATCAAATGTCAGTATAAAATTAAATAAAAAGTACTGGGGGTGAGAAAGAGTTCATTTCTGGAAAGCTGGCGAGTTCAGTTCATCATTGCTCCGAATGGAAAGAAAGTTGTTAGGGCTGCACCCGTGCCCAAGTTCACTGACAATTAACACACACACAAGAAAAGAGAAATAAGGCTCCACTTTTCTACCTCCAAAAACATTTCTCAGTTTGCTCCTTCTCTAAAGGTCTAGTTAACTGAAAACAAACAGATAACCACATTTCTGTTACAAATCCAAGCAGCATATACTCCAAATTGTGATTTAACCCTCTCCAAACCCATGCAAACCAGATGAATGAACAGAATTCACATGCACAGAATGCTCCTACCAAGCAGATCAGGTGCAAAGATTTTGCAAGCCAATATTTCCCCTCTGAAACACCAATCAGGAGAGAAAGAAGGCTATTTCATCATATCTTTTGATCCAGAAATTAAAAAAAAATTGGAAGTAACTTGTCCCTCTAGATGGTATCCTCACTAACTAAAGAAACTATCACCTGTAAGCAAGTCTTCCCTGCCTAACTAAAAACAATCTCAAAGCAAACTTGAATTTTGCATTGTACCTCTATTCCCCACTAAATATATTACTTTTGCTCAAGACTACAAAAGCATATTAGCCACAAATTTGGAAGACATCTCCATTTTTACTTATCACATTGCTTTCAATTTCAGCTACAAATAGAAGCAGAACATGTATTTACATGAAATCACTTTGAAAAAACAAATAACTTGGTATATTACAATCTTGAGCTGCAGCCTACCCACTCATTGGAAGAAGGAAAACCAAAAGTTCATACTAAGATATTCTGAAGAACTGGATTAAACTTTTGGTATTCCAGCTTCAAGAGAAAACATTATGGTCATTAGGCTCCTGCTGCATGATTTGAAGTAATCTGAGATGATCAAAAATTGAAGTCTGAGTTTTACATCTATACTGGATGAGGCTGTACACCAGTTAAAATAAGACTCTTGTGTCAGTGAGGTCTCACCAGGAAGCAGCACACAGATAATTTTCCTGCAACCCACTGCTTGTCAATTCTGATTTACCTAGTAAAGGTTTAAGAAAGCAAATACTGCTTATAAGTATTTTTCTTTTTTCCTCCATGATCATATCAGCATTTCTTACCATAGAAGAAAACCCAAGGATTACTGAATACACTTGGGATAAGCAAACTAAACACTTTAGAACTAAACACTACAATTTCAATTAACAGGTAACAATTTGAAGCACTATGAAATAGTAATAATGAACACCACCTTCTAGCTACCACCTCACCCTAAGTTCAAAAAGATCTGTTTATGTTGAAGTAGTAGAAAAGCATTTGTCAAACATTATCAAAGTCTTAGACCAAAGGCTCCAAGCTAAAAAAGGGAAAGATGAGGACAGAGAGGATGGCAAAGGATGAACTATGCTTTGAGAGCTGGGGTAGAGAGGGGGGGAAAAAAAAAAAAAGGCATGTCTCTAGAGCTGTTGCAGTCCTTCAAAACCACTCCTCTGTTTGAAGTAATTCAGTGCAGCCAGAATACATATTATTTACTGCATTGCTTAGAAACTACCACATCAGCATATAAAACAGCTGCACCAGGTCAGACAAAATGTTCAGCTATGGCAGTATCATTTTACTATGGCAGAGATCAGCAGATGATAGTAAAGAACAGGAGATGCTTGCAGAAGAATGTATTTTCCCTGCAGACCAACAGCAATTTAGTTCAGAGACTGTCTGACCCGAAGGTGTCCCTCTATATAAACGGGCAGGGACACAGGACGCACACAGGGTGGAGACACCTGACCTGAGCAGCCACTGCCCTGTTTTCTTGTCTCCAGCCAGAAGACCCTCTAGAAACCAGGAACACATGAAAATTTGATCAAGTCTCAACCTGGGCAAGCCAGGGGGAACCTTCTGTAGCATGCCAAGCTGAAACAGTGCTGAGGGATCTGGTGGAGCTGGGAACAGTCAGTGTGAGGTTAATGGTTGGACTGGAGGATCTTCAAGGCCTTTTCCAACTGAGATGATCCTGTGATTCTGTGAAAATAACCTTAAAAGACGCAGACAAACCAGCAGCAATATTTCAATCAAGAACATAGCATAACAGACCTATTCTAGGAGCTTTACGACTAAGGCATTCAAAAAAGACCGCAACTTTGCCTAGCTGTTCTTCTTCCTACCCTCCTGTAAGGAAGCAAGATTTTTCCTTTACAGTGAGCACTGGAAGATAGCGGATCATCACAGTCTGGATATGAGCAGGCAAACCAAGCTGACAAGCAGTGCCTTGGCCTTGGGCTCCCCTCTTGCTGTCAAGAGCAGAGTGGAACATACAACCACTGTTGTGACTGCCTTGTTCCAGGTCCCAGAGCTTCTCCAACAGCCCCTGGAAAGTCTGTAGAGCACCAAAACTGCAGGAATCAAACTACCACCTCCAGAAACCTGCCTTGCGCAGAAGGGGAATCCTTCCCTAACTTGCCCTGATGGTAAACTACCAATTTCCATGGTTTGGCTTTGAACTGTTGCTGACTTGCGAAGTAGTGGAAAAGGAGAAGAAATTGCCATCCAACTCAAACATGATATGAAAGAACTGACCATAATGAGAAGCCAACAAACTAAACAGTTCCTTTCTACACAAACCTCCTTCTTCAGGTGGCATAAAATACAGATTTCTCAAGTGATGCTTCTGTAACTTTACACAGTTACGATTTTGGTCATCACTCGTGGAACAGTAATAGATTCACAGTTATTTCAAATGCATGTAAACATGCAAGTGCTGATTTAAATTATATCACTGTATGGTTAACCACTACTCCCTCCCCAGTAAAGATAACAAATAATTTGCACTTATGAATCTGATGCTTTGGATTACCACTCATTAGAGTGGTAACAGAACTTGTTAGTCAGCCTATAACCACACTGATAGCCTCCGTATCTCGGCAACATTCCAGCTGAGCTAACAAGTCACATCTTACCATGCAAAAACTGGAATATCAGATCAAGACAGACTACTCCAGTTAAGCCTGATTCCATGAAACAATTCTGACTAAGTATTAATTAAAACTGTATGACAGACCTAAGTTAGCCTGTATTCATTTTCAAAACCTCAAGTACCATTTATATTGCACAGCTCTGTTCCAAAACACTTGTTTCTGACAATTAATTCCTGATCTATACATTCCTATAGTTTAATGGTATGTTTGTATAGTGTAATTGGAACATGCTTGCATCTCTTTCCCCCATACTTGTGCATGCACTACTCTTTTCTTTATTACTACACACAAAAGATAAATGGGTAAAAAATGAAACTTGCCATTTTCTCTGCAAGACTTGGCAGCAGGAAGAACTAGCCAAGGCTGTACAACAGAAGGAGGTTTCAGCTGATCACCAGATTCTCACGGGTCAGGGAAAACCATCAGTCTCAGGCAAGCATTATGCCTGACTGGCGGGGGTGTTGGTGTGTGAAACAAAATGTGAGAACTCTCTATTAATGTCAACAAGCTTCAATAAAAAAGACGTGTTGGATTTTACCACCACAGAAGATTTAAAAAAAGAAAAAAAAAAAAGAGGTGAGTGCACAGATCACTGCTACTGACTTGGAGAACTGCAAAAAATCCACCATTTAAGCCAAGGGGTAGACTCACATGGGTAACAAGAACATCAGAAGCCCCATCACATTTTTTTATAAAATGTTCTAGGGAAGAAAAAAAAAAAATCATTTTAATATTATTTTGTAAGATCTGTACATTCCAAAAGCATAAATCAGGTAGGAGAGGCATTGAAAGGTATATTTCCAAAAAGTGAAGAGGACAAAAGACAAAGCAGAAAGCTAGTAGCTGCAGAGGAAGAATGATCCAGCTTGAGGGCATGGATTTATTCATCCTGTTTGGTCCTTCCTTCATTGAAATGCACCAAAACCCCACACAATGACCTTCCAAAACAAACTGTCTCAGACATCAAATATCCTCAATACATAAAATACACACATGTTCATTCTGATCAGCGATAGGTAAAAGAAATAAAAGAAAACTAACGTGACAAGGTGCTAGATTTCTTGACAAATCTATCTTCTCCTTTTTTGTTAAGTACCTGGTTATGCTATGCACACAGGTTTTGAGTGTCCAAAATACTTGAAAATATTTGAAATACCATTTTATTACAAAAATGTCTGTAAAAGAAAAAAAAAAACAAACCAAGCTTAACCTCTTCCCAACTGTTTAAACTATAATTTCACAATATTATTTAACTTCAATTTGCAATTAAATTACAGATGGTCTTCCCTTGCCCTTTTTAATGAAAAAAACAACAAAGTTTTATTAGGAGATCTATGAGGTAATCTTCCCTCCGTGATATAAATTTACACTGGCATGTTTACAAAGAATAAAGACAGTTAAAAACGCAACATGTCATGAAACAGCATCTGGCTTCTTTAGCAAAACGAGGTTCATGTACCATCACTGGTATGGATGTTGAAGTAC